ATATCTGTCCAGCAAGCCTTGTTCCTCCTGTCTGGCACTTGCTTCCTTACATACAGCGGTCTTGGGGCTATGGAAGCAACTGGGTTTCACCAGTGTAACAGAAGCACCTTTAATTTGACAGGGTGATTTGGATTCAAAAGGAATTCTGTACCTCTGAATTTTGCACCTATGGCTTTGCTTAGTGAAGTGAGCTTTTTCAACTGGTAAATTATCTTCAGAAGATGAAAATTCATCTATAGTCTGTGAATCACTTTCCTTTTCTAGTTTGCCTGTTGTCTTTACTTGCAGCATGGTTTTGGAAGAGTTACCAAATCCCTTGTTTAGATTACACTTTTTTTTCCACTTGAACGAGTTAACATGTCTTAGTTTTTTTGGCTTGGACTGTAGGAACATTTCAATATCATCAGACTCATCACTAATATCACTTGTACCTTGTATATCTGTTGTCATCTCTTGGGCATGTTTCAAAAAGTTGGTTTTTCTGGAGGTTGACCAGGTATTATGGTTCAGAGATTGCTGACAGTCTCCCTTAGATGCAAGAATGGTGTTATTTTTGGTATCTGACCCTTCAGATTTTCCTGAAAGGGGCTCATATTTATTAACACTTTTAGTAGGAACAGGTGCCTGATGAGCTGGAACATGGGAAGGAAAGATGATATCATCACTCTCTTCTGAGCTGCCTTCAGTGTCCATGACTATAGCAACCTGGTTTGAAATGCACTGTTCCTTATTTTTACTTTCCATGTCCCTCTCATCCTCAGAAGCTGACAAAACAGGCAAATCTGCAGGTATAGTCAAACTCTGTATATCTGGTTTTTTGCTACTATTCCGTGACTTTGCGGTTTTCCACTGCCCTAAAATATGGTTATGACTCTGAGTTTTCTGAAGACCAGCACACTTGCCATTTACATTCAATCTCTGTCTCACAGACGGACAGTCAGAACTTGAATGGTCAGAACCACTGGAATGATCTCTTTCCAGGGTGGTTTTAATTTCTCTCTCTAACAACTTAGAGAAACCGCACTGCATTAACGTAGGTTGCCCCTGTGGATCTGTGTTACTTGCATTGTTTTTGTCTTGTTTTTTCCTTGAATTTCCCATAATTTCATCACTGCTACCTTCACTTGAAAAATCAAATTCGTCTTTCATCAAGTGTTCCCGAGGTCTGACAGGATCTTTATCTTCTTCATAACCTGATTCTGCATGCTAAAAATATTGAAAACAATTGTCAGACAAGTTAAATTATAAATAAAACAAGTTAAAGATTTAAAATTAGACATTGTTATAGAAAAAAATAGATCTTAATTCAGGAACTGGGACTTCATTTAATTATAGAATTCAATCTATACAAAGTGACTAAAGAGTATATACAATAAACAAGTAGTAAGTAAAGAGAAAATTTCAACAAAATATTGCAATACAGGTTATGACAAACAGTGAACATTACTATATTTTTTCCTAAAAATATAGCAATACATGCTGTCTACAATTTGGCTGTTAGTGAACAATTTGCATTTGTCCAATGAACATACTATTGGATTTATGTTTCAAAATCATTCATTTTGGTGCAAACTTCTAATGGTTAAGTTGTTTGGCCTGAAAGATAAAATTCAACTGTGCAAAATACTGCACAATAAAATTATTTTAAAAGAAAACCGACAACAGGGTGGTCAACCTCTTAAGATATGGCAGCCAAAACTCCTAATTAAAACAGTTTAAAAGAGCAGGGAGTACAAACAACCTTCTTCTCTAGAACTGCTTAAAGCCCAATATAGCCAAACACACAAACAATTATAATTTAACAAGTACAAAATATTTTGAAGTTTAAAAAAAAAACAGGAACTGAACTGTATACATTAAGTACAGACAAAATTCAAGGTGTATATGGAAGATCAAAACAGAAGGGTAAAAAATTAAGGTCTTGTCTACATGGAAACATACTTCCAGTCATACAAATAATTATCAAGGTACAACCCCGTCTGTGGACACATTTATTTCAGTAGAAGAGTAGATTTTCACTTAACATTATAAACAAAAAAAATCCCACAAACACATCTACAATTACATCCGCATCGAAAATGGAGGATAAATTGATATAGCAATAAGCAGTTGAAATTCACGCCTCCAGTTGCACCAAAAAAATTCCCAAGAAGATGAGACCTAAGATTATGGACAATCAGCAATTCAACTCTGTGGGCCACAGTTATTTGTCTTTGTTTCTATCAGAATTATCTTCAAAGAGCTAGTTGAGAAATTTCTTAAACCCTAAGCCCTGAATGATTCATTAGAACCAAAACTTCTGTGAAAATGTATCAGTTTTTACAAGACTCTTTCTGGGTTTTTTATAAAACTCTTACTGGGTCTCTCAGGACCAGAATGAAACTTTTGGTCAAAAACAGAAAGAAACCCACCCAAGAACCAAAAGCTTGTAAACAGAGGACTCACTCGGGTTAAGGGAGATGAAAATAGTTTTAAAGTTCTTATCTACTTGACTTCAACTGAATCTGAGTCTGTCCCAAACACCAGGGGTGCTTGTACATGAGTGCAGAGCCTGCCCTGACACACTAATTACAGTGCATCAGAGCAGACTCGATTAATCAAGCCTGCTGGAGCACGGTAATTACTGTGCTCCCGCAGCCTCCCATGTCTTGTGTATCAGCACCCTTGCACTTCAAAATGGCGGTGGGGGCACTTGAACTAAAGCTCACCAAAGAGTTTTAGTTCAAGAGCCCTGCCACCATTTTGAAGAGTGAGGATGCTAATACATGAGATGCTGCAGTACTTTAATTACAGCAGCTCTCAGAGCCGCTGTAATTAAAGGGCCACCCCCACCCCCAGAGCACATGTAAAAGTGCCCCAGGATGCTAATTGTTTTGAAGAGAATCTTACTTTTTCTCTCTCTCTGGCTTTTCATGAAATGCCCTTAAAGCATTTAAAAAAAACTGCAGGCCAGAATAACCATTTTTGGCTCAGCTTTATTATAGGCTATCACCACATCCCATTCCCATATTTGGTTACCCGAAATATAAATAATAATAATCCTTCACAATGAAGCTGGATGAAAAACTCACAGATTCAAGGGATTAAACTGATAGATGCTTCCATAGAGGCAAAGTTTATTTTGCTGTAATTTTAAATCCAGCATCACTCTAAACAGAATTCATTGGAGCTATTTTTGCTGTATATATGTGACTATTCAGCAGTTTCAAGGCCTGGGGGAATTCTAATCTCCAAACCAATGGAGCTTCCTGCTCAATTCCCTGGCCCAGAGTGAGACCAATTATTTAGGTTTTGTGTAAAGTGCTGATGTTTACTTTAAATATTCTGTTTTAGGCACTGTAAGAGGCAGATCCTTACTTAGAATAAACAGGCCTGGAGTCACTGAAGTCAAATCAGTTTAGGTCCAATCTTGTGGTTCCAGATACCATTTATCAAATAACCCATTCAACAAGTCAATATTTGTTGTTGTACAGCAAATGAATATGTTTTAAAAGGAAAAGATATCCACTAGTCTGATGATATTTTAAGGAGTATTTTAAAGGTATTTTGATAGACTATTACCTGAGATTCAGCACATTCCATTGTCTGAACCTTTCTTCTTATTCCAAGGTAAAGTAACGAAAGGCTGTGGTTATATCAGAACATACTACTTTTTGATGTTAACCCTTAACTTTTGTTTCTAGCTTCTGATACAGATATTTGCTCTACATACTAACCGAAACAAAGGAAACTTTCACACTCCATTCTGTATGACATACACAAAGGCAACTCACCATTTCTGATCTACATGATGGAGGCTCCTCCTTCAGCCAAGTAGTGGCTGTCATGACTCCGGCTTCCACTTTCCCCTCCCTCTAAAATAGCCAAAGGATGAAAGGCAAGCATATTTTATATTAGAGAGAAGGAAGCATGTGTGTTAACACTACCAGGTAAGAAATCAAAACTTTAAAAATCATACCCTTTCTATCTAGGTGCAAACATTCAAAAGTAGATTAATCAATCAGATAAAACTCAAAATTGCCATATTTCTATTTATGGAAAGACTCACTGGACTGGCAGTGTGATCTCAAGCTCCTGCTAAGCAATGAGCGAGTCCTATACAGATGCACATAATTTCATTACATGTAGAACAAGTTTTCCAAGCACCGTACTTTCTTTATTGACAGTACCAGTCAAGATTACATTTTGTCTTCCTTGCAAAAACAGCTTGGAGTTGAAATATCCCCAATATGAATCTTTCCCATGTTTACATAATCCAAAAATGGCATTAAAGATTTGCTTAAAACGCATCACGAAACCATCACTTTGGTTGAGATTATCCCAGAGAAGCTTCAATTTTGAAGTTAAATTGCTTAGAAAGGACTATGATGGACTCATTTAAAGAAGTTCTTAATGTTCTAAGCTTAATTCAGAGATGACGCATACCACATTATATTAGATACCTTGACCTACACATAAATGTAAAGACAGGAATTACTTAATGTGTCAGGGGCCTGTGCAGTGCAGCATGGCACAGTGTGCAGGCCCCACAGCATTAAGCTCAGGGGTATGTAACCTGTACAGTGTGTGGTTGGGGGTTCTGGACAGCCCTGCAGTAATATATAGTTACAGAACTAGATATAGGTATAACTGAAGAAAAGTAGAAACATCACACAATCGATTGTGATATTTTTGATTAAGAACAGAAAAGGATTTCAGTGATCTCCTGACAAATCTAAATTTAGACACATTTTCCACATTTATTTTTTTATTTTTTTATTACAGGGAATTTTTTGGCATGAATGGAAGTGAGAAACTAGAAGCCAAAGGTTAATTAAGGCACCTTGTAAACTGGTATTATTAAGTTTCACAATACTGCTCTGCAAGACATCTCCATTCATATTTACAGTAAAATATTTTGAGAGAAGAAAAATATGTGAAGCTAGTATCTAAAATTCAGAAGGAAACCTTCACACCTCCAGGATGTCCTTTGTAAGGCAGGACCCGTGGGTCCGAAGTTTGAAAAGGTTACGGATCCCAAAAAGCTCTCCTTTATGTTCCTTTGATCCTTGCACGGCCTCAAAATATCGCTTAGCATTTTCACTTCCAACTACCACACAGTGAAGTTGCTAAAAACAGAACAACACAAGAGATTTCAGAAGTGTTTGCTCCAATAACATGTCAGAATTTCCTGGCATTCACATTATATACACAGCTTTAGTTGGAGGCACATACAATATCCTAAGGGAGGACATTTTGTTTGAATTCCCCTGGCAGATGTTGCCATTGTGTTATGATATTAATTTGACTAGTTTTTTAAATAGGAAAAGAAAAGTATATTTTAAGCCTACTTATTTCGTTGTTATCCGCCCAAGATCAGAAACCTGCTATCTCAGCCTTCTTAGACATCAGTATTCCACTGCATCTTGACTATTTGCAACCTATTTTTCTTTAAATATTTATGTGGTCATTCTTTCACACACTCAGATACTGTGAACACTGAATATGGTCAATGGATCATTTGTCCTGGGAAAATTTAAATTATAACCTGCTCTAGTGTACAGTGAAAAGTGACTAAGTGCACAGTTGTGCAAGACTAATCAACTTAAGAAAATCATCGGTGCAGCAGACAACTGAACATGCTTGAAAATCAGGTGGGTTCAGCTGTGCTTCAAGTGACTTCAAATGTTCAACATTTTTGTAACCAATGTACTTTGACATAAAGAGCAGTAAGGTGGCCGAACTTATGGCTGTTATGGGTACCACAACTGTAATTCCATATTTACTTGCATACCACATGCACCGTTCCCCAAAAATCAGTCCTCCAAAATGGAGGAGTGTCTTAAACAGAGAGGCTATGCCGTAATGACTTCCATTTCATTCTGGACTGGCAAGCAGCACAGGCAGGGTCCAGTTTTAACTCTCTCACAACTGCTGCTGATTTGGTAATAACTTTTGGCTGAGCATCCAAAAACTGTTGCCAATTCAGCAGTAGCTCTGAAAGGGTTAATACTACAGCTTTCACCTGAAGTAGCTAGTGAACTGTCTGAGGTCAAGCGAGCTGCTGCGTATATTCAGCTGTCCACCAGAACTCTGGAAAAACCTTTTCGTCTGCAGTCAGCTTCCAAAAACAAGACCTTATTTAGGGCCATGTGGTATGCAAGAAAATATAGCATTTTTCTATAGCTCTTAGGATACTGGTAGCCTTTAAGGGATACATGATGGTAATTCTGGCATTAGGAAGCCAATTGTTAAAGGACAAATATCCACTTGAAACACACAAGTCAGTCACAAATTACAGCTGGATGCAGCCCTAAATTTACATCACTCTACTTGTACCATAGCAGTCATATGGCCACAGCTAAAGATGCATGCATCACAGACTTTAGTTTGCCTATTTTTATACTTATAGTATACTACTTGTTATGTTTTCTGGCAGTTTCTGGGGTCCCCCCTCAAATTGTATACCATTATAAAGAAAAATGTATAAGTAATTTCAAAATCAAGTATATTTCTCAATAATATAATCTAAACGAAATGAAACAAAAGCTTTTCAAGCAGAGTTATTTGCATTAAGTCTATTATTTACACTTTAAAACACTAACTACAGGTGTCTATTTGGCGATGCCTTGCACACTAGTACAGAATGGCATGTTAGTGAAACTACACAAACATGAGTGACTCCTAACAGGCAAAGTAGGCTTTTTATGCTTTTCACTACTGCCTGAAAAAATCAAAAGGCAGTGAACAAAATCTTAGAGAACATAAAAGTAACTGCATGCCCTTCAGTGACTGAAAAAGAGCCTTGGAACTCAGGAGCTTTTTGTCTCAATACTATATAAAATATATCTTATGGAAACAAAATACTTGCAGCAAGTTCTGGATAAGGTCACACTTTTCAGCAGTTCTCTATTAATGAAATCATAAGAAGTGAAATTTCCTCACTTGCATATACAGGCAGTCCTTGACTTACAATGTTTTGAGTTACAACGTTTCACACTTACAACGTTTATAAATTGACACCCTGTTTCAACTTTATGACGTCAATTTCGACTTTACGACACTTGATCTGACGCCAAGCCATGCCAGCGAACAAGTTCGCTGCGTCCCCCATCTCCCTGGAGAACATCTGTCCAAACTTCCTTGGACACTTTCTTTAAGAAAGCAGACAAGACTCCTGAAAAGTCTCCAGCCAAGAACCCTTCAAAAAGCCCAATTAAGAGCCCTTCAAAACATCCAGCAAAGTCTCCTCAAATAAGTCCTTCCAAATCAGTATGATTGCTATTTAGAATATAAATACATTAATGTAGCTCTATTACTCACCTATAATTGATTGAGTACAAAATTATGGGGTATTTTTGGTGAAAATAAGGTATCGGGCCTTGGTTCAAGAACCAATCCCCCATTTATAACACTGTTTCTTATGGGAAAATCAGTTCTGAGTTACAATGTTTTGACTTAAGACATGGTTTTCAGGAACCAATTGTGTCATAAGTCTGAGGACTGCCTGTACAAATACGTTCATGTGCAAGACAAAATTTAGGAACTGCACATCCAAATGGTAGTTAAATGCCATATTACCTGCTTATACAGATACACAGATATTCACTTCAATGATCCATCTGCTAATGTGGATATATTCACAGAAGCTTAATGAAAATCCAGTCCTTAGATTTGCAAGTCTTAAGTTACCCTTCTTGTACTTAAAAGAGATTTTTAACAATTTACAAATACAACTGTATGCATACCTATGAACTCAGCTACATGAACTAGTGCTTTATAGCTCATTGGTTAAATATTTGTTCTTCTATGCCTGTTAGTATTTTGCATATTTGCAGTAGTAATGTGCATGCACACATCCAGTTCTGTACACTGAGCTGCACAATCTGGCCCTAACATGCCTGCTAGAACTAAAGCAAAAAGTTTTGTTAGAGCTTTGCAAAGCTGACAAAGAATGTCCTATTCTGTACTAAAGTCATGTTAAAACCAACTAAAAATACTCAATATCAATTTACTTTACAATACTTTCAGTTAAGGTTTCCCAAACATGCATTTAATTAGGATTTCAGATAATTATTACAATGTAAAAAGGAATAATTTTTAAAAACAACATGCTTGCTAATGTTTAAAGGGATGTCAAAGCTGGTAGGCCTAAATAATGACCTATTCTGACAGCATTCCCAACAGAAAGTCTTAGCTTCCAAAGCTTTCCCTGTGTTTATTTTTCAAATTGATCACAGCTGCCAGCAAAAAGAAAACCCTCTAACAATGAAAAAAGACTTATAATGAAAGTAACAGTGAGCAAAGCAGGATGTATATACTCCCCATTAATATCAGTGTAAGTATGTTTTTCAGCAAGTGATGAAACAACAGGATAAAACTTTCCAAAGTGGAGTGTTGAGGACAGCAGATGTTAGCTCTTAAAGAAATGCTAAGTAGTTACTCATACTTTACAAACAAAATAATTTCCCTTATCAAAATTAGATTATCAGTAAGTATGCAGCAAAAAATCCTGTTATTTACCAGAAAATTCTCAATTAAGTGAACAGTACACACAGAAAAAAAAAAAAAAAAAAGTTAGGAACTAGTGAGTTTCTGCTGCTGTTTTGTGGATGTAAACAATCAATATATGTGACTTCATTCTCTGCGCTTTCCATTCAGAAAATAAAAGCCTGTGCCCCAATTCTTGTTTTGTTCTTGCTCTTGATTTCAAACTGTTCTGAAAACAAGACAGCTTATAATCTCTTTTGTATCTACTTCTCAGGGGGAAGGGAAAGGCCTTCAGAATTCTCATAACTCTCCTGGGTTGTGAGACACTATGGCCAGGCACAGAAATTACACGTAAACTGGTGTAAGTGATCGGAAACAGGTTCAAATCTGTTATGCAACAGTGCTGGAGACAGAAGTTACACTTATACTGGTTTAACTGATCAGATACTGGTTTAAGCCTGTAACAGAACAGAAGTTCAGTGCACATAAACCAGATTCAAAATGGCTGAAACCAGTTTAAAATAAATCTGATTGAATGCAGTATCCGACTTAACTGATTTGGGTCAAACCTGTTTATGAAACTTCTGTTCCAAACCCCTTCCTGGTTCAAGTGAAATCATAGCCCCCCAGGATCCCAGCATGCTTTCTAGCCCTGGGCCGTGCTGGGCTGTCTGCTCCAGTGAGCAGGGCTGGCCCCACCCCTCTGCTCCCTAGCTGGAGCAGTGAGGGCTGGCTGACAAAGTGGGGTGGGAGCAGGGCAAGCCTGGCTGGGGATGCAGCCCATTCTACAAAGGGAGTACTGCCCCCCCATGGCAAACCTCAGCTGGGGCCAGGGAGGCGAGCTAAACACCCCTTCCCCTGCTCAAACTTATTGCTGGCTGCAACTGTGGACTACAAATCCCAGAGGCGCCTGGAAGCAGGAAGAGGAAGTGATGAGCAACCTAGCAGAGTCTTGCTGATGTAAGTCTAGACTGCAAATCACAGAGACCTCAGGGGCAGCAGGAAGAGGAAGTGAACACAGTCAGAGAGCAGTGCTTTAGCGCCCCCCCGCCCCAGCTTCTGGCCTGAGCCACTGCAGGTCTGTGGCTGCATTTCCTGAAACAAAGGTAAATGTCTGTCCACTTCTGTTTCAATTTAATCTGTGCAGTTTAGACTAACCTGCAAAGACTGAACTGATTCAGCTTCAGGCTTTTTGACCGCCTGTACTTAGCTCAGAAGGTCAGTGCAAATAAACCACTTTCAAAATGACCAAAATCAGTTTAAGATAAGCCTGGATGGATGTAGTATTAGACTTAACTGATTTAGGTTAAATTGGTCTATTGAACTTCTGTCCCAGATCTCCTCCAGATTCAAATTAACTCACAGTCCCCTAGCATCCCAGGATGCTTTGCACCTTTCCTGCAAAACCCCACTCGCAGAATGGGTGGGTTAGCCTTGGCCCAAGCTGTCTGCTCTAGCTGAGCGGGGAGGCATGTAAATGTCTGTTCACTGGCTTACGGTTCAATCTATGCAGCTTAGACTAACCTGCAAAGATCGAATTGATTCAGCCTCAGGTTTTTTGATTGTCTGTGCTTAGCCTACAAGACTGAAGAGGAAGTTAGGGGCCTGCTTCAAAAACATGACAAGCAGCAATTACTATAACATTTACCATGCTAGTGTTACCCTTAGACAACTCTCAGTGTTAGTTCTTCACTTTTTTCTCCTTCAGAACAAGCAAGCAGATCAACTCATTCAGCTCACTGGACCACCAGTCAGATTGGGCCCAGAGACCAGCTGCATGTGTCAGATCTAGCACAGACGCCTGGTTCTGCACAGGCACCACCACGTAGTGTGCATCCAGGACTGGTCCCATGTGTGCTGTATGGTATGTACATATTGGCTCCAGTCTCATGCTCCATATGCAGCACACCTCAGCCCCAGTCCAGGGCATGTCATTTACAGAGCGTGGAGCCAGTCCAAGGCATGCACTGCATGCAGTGCCCAGGCTGGACTGGTCCTGAGTATTGGATCTAGCATGTAGGGCCAGTCTGTGGGCCTGATCCAGACCAGTCCGAGATCCAGCATACAGAAACGGTTCAGCACAGGTATCGCACTCAGTGCATACCCCAGACAAGTTCTGCATGCAGCACACTGAGCCAGGGTCAGGGCCAGTGCATGCATGCTGCATGCAGCATGTGACGCCAGTTCAAGATTGACAGGGAGCACCACAGGTTGGATGACAGGGTCAGCAAAAAGCATGCAGGCCAGCTTTTTGACACCCTTGATGTACATGAACATAGAGTTAACAGCAGACAACGACACTCATAAGGCAGGTACTGAACACTTCCCAAGTTTATTTAGCCCAGCTTCTAAAACCCTCCCTTTGGGAAAATGAAACCAGTAGCCACCACCCCCCACTCTTCAATCAGACTATATGGTGTTAAAAATCTACTAGTATCTTAGAATTTCAAAATAAAAATGTTAATTTCAGTTAATCAAACCTCCTTCTTTTTCTACCTAGCTTTCACCAGTAGTGGAATAATTAAAACAATGGTATTTGCTCGTTGCATCATTAGTCTCTGAACTAACACCCAGGGAAGCAAATAGAAAAGTTCACAATGCACAGCTACTATTTCAGACCCTTTGCAAACCACACGTAGGTTGCTTCTCAAGGCTCGGCTCTCTTTGAAAATCTCATGGTGAGAAAAACTGAAAAGTCTGTCCAGGCTCTCCCTGGGCTCTCTCCTCCCACCCCTTTTGGGAAATTCTAATTTCTCTTAATCACCGGACTGAATGATGTGATACTGGTTTTGCTGAAGTGGAAAGTAGTGAGGCAGCAGTCAATCTTAACTCCACAATGAATTAAGAGCCTCTTCTGAGACTGCATTCCAGTTTCCCCTTCTCATCTGAGACCTTACAGGAGCAGAAGAAAGAATAGAATTTTCTTCATCTTCACAAATCACTGAAACATGCACTCACTCTCATAGCCTGGTACCAAGGATTATGCTGTCTCAAGCACCGAGACATTAATCCACAAGCCCCTAATTTACAATATGTCTGCCAGTCACTGCTAACAAGTTAGGATTTATTTGAAAGCTTCAAAATAAATTAGCAAAACACTTTAATTACAATTTTTTATAAAACAGAATATAACTTAAAGTACCAGTAAAACTACACTCAACTTTGCTAAAGGTTTGCTTTTATTCATCCAGGCATTTGACTATGATTATTGCTTTAAATGTATTGTGATACTGTATGCATTTTACCTGTTTGTAGACTTGCCGTAAATATATCATCTCCTCCACAGTGCCCAAGGATATTAACCTGAAAACTTTCACTTCCCTGCACTGACCGATCCTATAGGCTCTGAAAAGACAGTGTCCGAGTCAATTTCAAGAACAGTATAGTATTAGTCGTCCAATGAGCTCTTGTAGAGATTAGTAAAATCACAATTTATAAAATGAGGAAACACTTTAAAAGAACTTCCTTAAAATGTATGTTTAGAAATTAACCGTTTTACCATGCCAACTCTTCCTATTGGTGTTTCTCTTTCATTTTTAATTTTGTGCCTTCTGCATTAAGCCATATATAGTTGAAACAGCTTTCATATTCCTGTACATCATAGGACCAACCTCTCTCCTATCTCAAAGCCCTCTTCAAAACACATCCTCTATTTATTCTTTGAAAATTAATCTCTTTTTGCAATCTCATTTTGTACATGATCATTTTTTATTTACATTATATGCAAGTTAGATCATAAAACTTATGGCCAGGGACCACAGTCTCTTAATATTATAAAGCACTGTGCAAGTTACATACATTACATAAATAATGTATATGAAGTAGAAGTATTTACATCTCTGAAATTACTAATGGATTATTTTCAGAAACTGCAGAAAAGACTTAATGAATGTCAAGAGACCGCAGAGATGCAATTTTGTGAAGCAGATTTTGTGAAGGCTATTTCTGCAATAATACACAGTTTTGCAATATTTTTTTTCACATGCAGATTAGGGTGTGCAGGGGAGAAGGGATGTTTTTCTGAAGGTAAATGAAATAGAAAAATAGTCTGTCCTCTCAGAACTTATAAAAGCATGGATGCCATAATGAGCTAATAATAATGTGGAACTGCACATAAATGCTTCATTTTACTCAATAAAATGTGAGAAGTTTCAAAACACTGAGCTGCTTTATATATCTTTTTTTAAAGCATTTTCCCAGCACAAACAGCTCAGAAAAACATTTTAAACAGGACACCAGACATACTTAGATAATGTTCTTTGTCCAAACGCATTTTATACTATAACTTTTAATGGTTGTTTTGATTTTATAATTTTTGGTAAGGTAGCCTAGCAGAATGGGATAACTAATAAATATTGTTTAGAGATGCGCTGCTATAATCGGTCACTTATTGGAAAATTAACATTATCGGCCAACAGTTTTGGCTTGTGTAGCCAATAATTCACCAATAAATTCCACATGCATGTGCACAGCCAGGAGTGCAGCCAGACAACTTGGAAAACAGTGTCCTGTCGGTAAGTCTGAGGGAGGGGGGAGGCAGCGTGGGGAAGGAATCAAGGCCCCCCCAAGGTGAGGGAGGGAGCGGGGGAAGGGCAGGTACTGCCCAGCCAGGGTGGTGAATGCAATCCTGGGGCTAGGAAAAGGATGGAGCTGCAGGCAGCTCGTCTGTGGGGCATGGGGGAGGGTGGGAAAGGGGGTGGCTCCCCGCCACTGCATGTACTCCCAGGGGAGGCATGGGAGAGATGTGCCCCCTGGATTTGTGTGTGGGGTGCAGGCGGGCTTCCAGCTGCGGTGGCGCTGGGAGGGGGGACTATGGGGAGGCTATGGGGACTTTCTGGGGAGCTTTAGCCCCCCAGGTCCTGCCCTAGTGCCACCCCTGCTGAGGGCACTCCACTCTGCTGCCTTTCTCTTGGGAGCCCATGTGGGAAAGGCAGCAGAACAGTGCCCTGAGCAGAGGTGGCACTAGGGGGTGTTTGGGGGGCTATAGCCACCCCAAAATTCCCTGTAGCCGCCTGTCCCAGTGTTGCCACTGCCCACCCCATGCAGTTGAGCCTGCCCTGCCCCCATCTGCCCCAAGCCCAGCCCAGCTCCCCTGCCAGGAAGAGGCTGGTGAAGCACCTGGCCCCAAACGCACAGTGGGTAGCCCGCCTTAATCTCCTGCACAATTTTTTTTTGGGGGGGGGG